TTAAAAATAAAGTTTGAAAGGAAACATTTCCTCTGGAAAAAAAACAGGCAAAAAATAAAATGAAGAATCAATATAATTTAAAGTGTAGTGGACAGTCTTATTATTTTATTTTATTTTGATAGCTTTTTTAATTCCTTTTTTAATTCTGATTTTGATTTTCCATGACTATCTCCTGATCCTTTCTGTAGTTTTTCTATATTAATTATTATTTTCATTATAGATAAATCTGTAAAATATTGAATTAGCTAATTTATAATTTAGTCTGTAAAATGCTCAACTTTACATATTTTCTAACATAACAATGGAAGTAAGTATCATTTTGAGAGTAAAGTTGTTTTAAGTAGTTTAATTTAAAATTTGAATAAAATAACTTAATGAGGAAAAAAATAATTTACACAAAAAGAAAATGCAAAATTACAAGATTATTGAATAATGACTTATAGGGTTTTATATATATATATATATAAGGTTCATATACACTAACTGGTGTATATGAACCTTATTTTAACAATTTGATTTATTCAGGTCTTTTCTACTGCACTTATATTATTGTATATATTACATAATAAGTAATACATACATAATATTTTGCATTTTTTTTAACATTGTTTTAAATTATCTGGTCTTGTGAAGAAAAACATCTCATTCTGCTGTACTTGTATTTTTATATGGATGTGGCTGGAATGACAAACCTGAAACTGAAGTTGAAGCTGTAACATTACGTTATACAGACAGTCAACAGTTTGGTTGTTACATGTTTATGTTATATATATATATATATATATATACACATATATAATATGGAGGTTTTCTCATAAAACTGTAATTTTATTCTTATTCATTTATGCATTTTTTTCCTTGAAATTACATCTTTATTCTCGTAACAGTACGACTTTTTTCTCAAAATACGATTTATTCATGAAACCTCAAAGTGATTTCCACAAAAATGTCTTAAACCACTTCTTATGCGTAAAAAACTGATTATGATTGGTTCCCATGAGCAGCTGTGATCAGGAAACGGAGAAGGCTGTGAAGAAATATTTGTCTTTGTGATGCTTTCACAACTGCACAAGAATTATCGTTCCAACTATAATTAACTAAAACTTTTTAATTTGTGTATTTACGCTGTTCAAGCCACATTCATGCATTTTTGTAGGTAAACTGTCAAACTGGACGTCCGGGGCAGCATGAATCATTCAGACGAGCAGCTTTTACATCGACACAAACCACAAGCTTCGGCTGTGAAATGAAACACGTTCGGCCTCTTTTCTCAGCCAAGAAGTCGTGAAGATTAAAAATGGACGGACATGTTTCTCCAACACAGGGAGAGTTAATCTGCAGCTTCCACTACATCACTCCATCGCTGTGCGGTCCAACACCAACACAAGAGAACACAGAGAACATACTGCTTAAATTGAAACTGAAGTGGAAATCCACCGTGTCATGTTGGAGAAA